CCATAATAATGAGATTTTTTTTTCTTAAACTGCGATCTAGAAAAGTTGTCTAGATCCCAGAGTTATGATTCTTTTTCTATGTTTGAGGTATTACAGAAGATTCTAATCTTGGGAGGAATGGAGCAAAGTAAAAAGACGACCGGTTCGTTATAGCGGCTACAAAGAAGAGAAGGACCTTTTATTAATATACTCATGGCTAACTTAGATCTAAATACATTTAATTCTAGACTGCAGTTCTTCATGTTGTTAAATGCATTGCTTCATATATATCCTAGATCATCAAAAATTGCGGTACTAAAATTGTAAAAATCGGTACTTTGCTTAAAATCGGTACTTTGAAAATTTTTCTTTGTGCCTCAATTTGGCGATCTAATAAAACAAATTCGTGATCTGCAAAGTGAGGAAATGGAGGCTAGAATTGGACCGAGCTCTCGCTTGCTCAATTCATACTTTTTTTTTACAAATTTATGTGATCCTTAAATCATTTCTAGATAGAGCTGGAATTAGGGCGTAACAGCTTTTGTAAACAATGACTTCTAACAATGATTTCTAGGAATTAAAGGCACGTCCACGCAGATCAACCTAACCATCGGATAGGGGAAGTCTTTTCCTACCCTATGAGAATGTTGATTTGCGTGGGCGAGCCTTGAATTTCTAGAAATCATCAAGAGAAGTCATTGTTTATAAAAGCTGTTAGGCCCTAATTCCAGCTCCATCTAGATTTGTTTTATTTTTAAAAAGCATGAAAATTCCGGAATAACGGAACATTATCTTTTTGATCAATAAATGTCACTATTGGTCACTTTTTAATTGTTTAAAGGTCACTATTTGGTCACTTTTTTCGTAATTTTAGTCACTAAAGTCACTACTATTACATCACGTACCCACTACCAGCCCTGAATGATCGATCACCTTAAACGAGTATGGTGGTACTCTGGAACACAGAGACGGATCAGGAGAAGAACTGTTTTCAACAAACGCATACTTGCCTGATGTAGAAGGTTGGAAGACCCCTTCACCATTCTCAACCACAGGGCCAGAACGACTACGATGACAGGAATCAGGCAGCAGGCAGCGCGTTCTGGTCTGGGATGTTCCAAAACGTGGCGAGCAGGATCCGGTGCAGTGCTGTATGTCCCATCGGTGATGTGGGATTTGAAGCCATCGAAGTATGACGTATTGCTGCAACTCGGAGAGAAATCAGGCGGAGAAGAGTTTGTTAAACTAATATACTTGCCTGAATTAGGTGCTTGGAAGACCCCGTCACCATCATCAACTACAGGGCCAGAACGACTACGATGGCAGGAACCAGAAGGCGCGACTGTGTTGAATGGATCGAGGGCTTCCTTGAGGTGGCAAGCAGTGCGTTCTGGTTTGAGCTGATCATGATAAGAAAGAATGATGGTCGGTACAACAGAATCTCGGTACTTGTTGTCGATTTCGATGGTGTTGCCATGCGACGATTCTCTGAAATCCGAGGAAGTATCAGACAATGGGACACTAACGCCAAAAACGTACTTGCCTGGCAGGTGCAAGCAGCGAGCGCGACTGTGTCGGGAGGACTAGGGGCTTCCATGGTACTAAAGGCAGTGCGTTCTGGGTTGGTTGCTGTTGCATTGAATGTCGGTATGTAAGCGTGATAGCCCAAATCACGTGATAGCCCAAATTCATTCTAATATCACAGTTCCACGGTTTTTTCGTTCTTGGATCAATTTTATGGCTTGCTTGCTTGCAATCGGGCTAAGGCCTTGTTGTCCTCCGCTGTCCGAAGAAGTCGTCTCCACTCTACTCGAACCATGGGCACACTTCGTCAGCCTCGTAGTCTGCGAAGGGTTCGCAGGTCGCCTTCTACTTGGTCGATCCACCTTTCGGAGGACGGTCCGATGGCAATCTGGGTTCATGTTTATGTCACAACCCCAAATTCATTCTAATATCACAGTTCCGAATGTTTTTAAGAAAACCACGGAGCTCTAGGATCAGATTCGTGAATTTTCCATTTTTATCCTCCGGATCTTCCGGAGGACGGTCTCATGGACATCAAGGTTCATGTGTATGTCACGACCCCAAATTCATTCTATCATCTCAGTTTAAAACCGCGGAGCTCTAGGATCAGTTTCATGGATTGACCACTTTTATGGATGTTTCGGATCTTCCGGAGGACGGTCCTATGGACATCCAGGTTCATGTTTACGTCACAGCCCCAAATTCTTTCTATCATAATGTTTATAAAAAAAAAACGCGGAGCTCTAGGATCAGGATCGTGGATTTACTACTTTTACGGATGTTCCGGATCTTACACTGGACGGTCTGAAATCTAAATTACAGATCTTGTACCACTTTCAAAAAGACGTGTAACAACTCTTTTCGCTTTTTAAAAAAGTAGACGACTCTATTTTCAATCTTTTTACCATCAAAATCATCAGGGAAGTTCCTTGAACTAGTTGGAAAAAACCTCTGAAACATTGAGAGTTGCATGAACTTGAAATTAGTAAAAGAAAACCCGAAATTAGTTGATTAGGTAGAACTTCTTTTGAACTGTTTGGAGGTTCCGTGTGCTTGTCTTTAAATCCATGAGTGTGTCGGAAGAACATATCGGACGATCTATGAATCTTTCAGAAGCGCTGTGAACAATAGTTAGGGCTAGTCAAACTTGTCAGATGTTTCGAGTTGTTCCTGGAGCTAACGGGGAGTTTCGGAGCTGTTGGAGAAGTCCGGAAAGCTACCAAAGTCCGTTAAACTTCTGAGAAGTATGTAGAATTTCCGAAATGATCGTAGAATATCCGACACGTCCATAGAGCTTCCGAAAAGTCCTAGAAAAGTTGGAAGAAACTTTCATATGAAGTCAGAAGAAACCTCCGGGAACATCAGATGAACCTTTCTGGAGAATCCGGAAGTATCTTCCAGTGGAAGCCGGTTGAAATTTCTGGGACAAGGCGAGCAATAATTCCCAGATGAAATAGGAAGATATTTCCAGCAGAAGTCGGAAGAAAATGTCCGGAAAACAATGAAAGAACTTCGCAGAAAGATCGAAGTGTGCCCTGCTTTTACACTATTTTTTTTTTCGTCGCGTTTTTTCTAGAGAAGTTCGCGAGTGCACACTTTTATGGCCGAGCTAAGAATAATTCCAGGCCGGTATCATCGATACTGCAGTTCTACGTGAAGCAGTGCTGTGAAATTCGGATTTTTTTTTTCAATTTCCCAAGCAATCAAGAGGTGACCGCAATGGGCCAGCACTTGTCCAGGACGGATTTCGAGTGGTGTTACACCGAAGAACCGCACGCCAGTCGAAGGAAGTTTTTCGGTTATGATCTGCGGTTCAAGTTTGTGGCTGGTGCCATGGTGCTAACGCAGTTTGCAATGTTGTTCATAATGAAGGGCCAATCGTGGAAGATGATTTTCCTGGTGGCATATTTCTTTGAAGGGGTGATTAATCATTCGCTAGAGCTCGCCTGTCACGGGATTGCTCGCAATCTGGCTTTTGGACATGCCAGGCCGATGGCAAACCGGCTGTTTGGATTTTTCTGCAACCTCCCGATCGGAGGAGCGGATGCATCCAACGAAACTTCCATTGCATTATTTTATGATTCTTCAATATTGTACAAATATTAACACATTACACACAACTACACATAGTAGCTCGGAGCGTTTGATAAGGTATGTCCACGCATCCTTCCACCCCTGTAGATTCAAGCAATGTTCCCATTCATTTCCAAGAATCATCTATGCGGCAAATACAACGCAGTAGGCCTGGCCGTATTGATGTTTATATCATATCTCAGATATGCTGTAAACATCAATTAGACAAGAAAAATTATTAGACCTCATCTAACTTAATCATTTTCCAGGATGTTTTCTCGTACTGGCTGCGTTTGTATTAGATTAGATTAGATTAGATTAGATTAGAAAACAATGAAAGAACTTCCAAGAAGTCAGAAGATATTTCCAAAGAATGTCACAAAGACTTTTGGAAAGTCGGGTGAAAGTTCCAAGAGAGGTCAGAAGAGTTTTCCGTGTAAAATAGGATACAATTTACATTTCCAGAGGAAACCAATAAGGCTTCTAGAGAAACTTGGAAGATACTTCCGAGGAAAGATTGAAAAACCTTCCTGAGCAAGTTGAAAGAAACTTCCAGAAGATTTTTTTGGAAGAAATTTCCAGAAGATTTTTTGGAAGAAATTTCCAGAAGGTTTTTTTTTTTAAATAAATTTTAAGAAGATATTCTAAGAAACTTTCATGGAAAGTCGGAATAAGTGCTAATTTTTAAATGAATGTGTATTTCAAAAATTATATTAATCATGAACATATTTTAACATATTTCCCATCAGCAGTTTCCCGATTCGTAGGTAGTCAAAAATGGCCGGAAAATAAAAACGCTACACAGGATCTTGAAAATTTTCGCTTGTGAATTCAAGATCAAGATTTTGACCTTAGTCGGGGGTTGTCCAAGTACCACGTAGACAGTTCAGGGGGGAAGGTGGTTGGCGAGTGTCTACGCAGGAAGGGGGTCTAAAACATCTCAATCTAGGTTGTTTGCGGACAGTTTGTTATCAGCATGAAATAAATATTCGCATCCACCCTGACCACCGAAGAAACCACATTACTTTCACTGCAACCCAAATAAAAGTGGTTTATTTAATTTCACCATCCTTCTAAGCCCGGAAGCTCCCCTCAGTAGGAACTATTGCACCATGCTTTGAAATTTTTCCAACCACCAGCCGGTGCAAGGGAAGGGGTAGTGAAATTTCCCACAGAAAAGCTGGTCTTTGCCTGCCTGAGCTTACTTTGCATCAACTATGCAGGCAGGACAAGACAGAAACCAATCTAGTCATTGGTTGCCCAAAAGGTGAATCTAATTCCAGAGGGAATGTTTGATTACATTTGCCCGGATGTCTTTTGTTGCCCCGAGAACAAACTGTTCTACCGTTGATTCGATTGCCATAATTAATGTAAGCTGCAGAACATTTCACTTATCTAACTCTGACTCATTTCCTTCTTTGCAGTTATCGACGACGAGCAGCTGGTACGGGACGTCGAATCCCGCATCCCATCGCTTCCGATTGCCTACTGGAGCAAGCACAAGAATGCCGTGCAGAAGAAGGCCGCCTGTGCCAAATACCCGTCGATCTTCGAGCTGGAGTTCAACAACATCTACTGGCAGACGCTGCGCAGCTCGAATGGAACGTTCCAGCTTTTTGGAGCGTACTACGACATCCGAAAGCGTAGCCGCATCGGACCGGCCGTTCGAATCCTGGGCATGATCGATCGGATCGAACCCAAAGTCAAGACCTTCTGTCAGCTGTGGTTCGATGGTCAGAAGGAACCGTTCATCGTGAAAACGTTCGAGTACAAGTACATATGGTTTAACAAGTGGGGCAACTACAAGCAAGGCATCTACCAGCCTTACCTGATAGCTTGCCAAATTCCGAAGCCGTTCCGAGGACTGGTGCCGGCGTCCGTATCGCTCGTGGAGAAGCAGTGCGATACGGCAACGAACAATCTGAGGGTGTTGTACAATCGTCCTCTGGACGATAAGAAGAAGGGATTCGCGGTATGCGTGAAGGGTCTGGACTTCCTGTACGATGACCTTTCAGTACGGTTAGTGGAGTGGATCGAACTCCTGGGAATCCTAGGTGCAGATAAGATCTTCTTCTACGAGCTGCAGGTTCACCCCAACATTTCTAAAGTGCTTCGGTACTACGAAGAGCAGGATCGAGTTCACGTGACTCCACTGACCCTGCCTGGAGGTCAACCAAACGTCCCCGGCTTCCAGCATTTGTTCCTATCGAAGAAAACCACCCACAAGAGACAGAATGAGCTGATCCCCTACAACGACTGCCTGTACAAGAATATGTACAAGTACGAGTTCATTGCCCTGCTGGACATTGACGAGGTGATCATGCCGAAGCTAGACGAACATCGCACTTGGCACGACCTCATGGAGCGGGTCGTCGAGAAGGGCATGAAGCTCAAAAACGACACCTACCCGAGCTACAACGTTCGGAATGTGTACTTCTTCGATCAGGATCAGCACGAGCACGACTGGAACAAGGACGTCCCGAAGTACATGCACATGCTGCAGCACGTCCAGCGGGCAAAGAACTACACCAAGCCGAACCAGTACGTCAAGTGTTTCCACAACCCGGAACGGGTACTAACCTTGCACAACCACTTCCCGATCGCATGTCTGGGAGGAGCGTGCCATTCCTTCCCGATCAGCACGGACGACGCCCAGCTGCAGCACTACCGGGCCGATTGCGTCCGGACGCTCAAGAAGAGCTGCGAAGAGTTCAAGGAGAACCAACAGCGCGACACCACGATCTGGAAGTACAAGGACGAACTGGTTCAGCGGACGCGCCGCACCCTGGACACCCTCGGATTCTTCCGGCCGTCGTCGGCGGTCGGTGGCATGGGCCGCGGGAGGGACTCCCTCTACAAGCGGTGATTGTTGCAGAAGCTTCGGCACATGTTTAATCTCTAGTTACGTTTGTTCATTTATTCGATTGACCAACGACGACGACCGCCGCCCGATGGCACCGTGAACAATGCAACCATTTCAGCTAGTACTCCAGGGGCGGTAGAGCACCAGTGCTGCGATCTTCGTCGCCGTCGATGATGGTGATGATGATGATCATGATGGGAGGTAGAGAGTGAAAGAGGCGGAACCTTCTTCGATCGGAGCCGACTTTTTGCTGCTTCGGTTGAAGCGGGCCAGCAAACGGGAGAACGGTTGGACCCAAGCCGAATAAATGAACGATCGATTTTCAATTTAGGACTAGAAAAATGTTATCGATTTAGCGATTTAGTGAGTATTTTGTTTTCTTCGCCCAAAATTTCCGGAACTAATACTAGGCAGTCAAAAGAGTAATTTATGTACGTGGTAAGAAGCGCAACCGGATGTGGATTTCCTCGTGGATTGAGCTTCTGTGCAGTCCATTGTAAGCGTTAGGAACAGTGGAAGAAAGTATATATATATATAATAGGTTACGTAACTTTCAAGGTGATTAATTAGAGGATCAGAAACGATGTAAGAAAGTAGTCGTGTAAGATAAACTTTATTTATCAATCAATTATTATGATTATAGACAATGTGTGCCTTTTGTTAGCTCCTAATACTATTGCTGGGTTCTGCCTTCGGAAGGCAAACCCATTCTGTTGATTTTAGCCATGATCGCTCATTGAAGATGTTGGTATCTTGAAAAACCTCTTCTAAATACGTTCAAAATTATACAAATTCACTGGGAATAGACGGTTTAGTTGGGATATGAATCTTCTGTCGCCTGAGTAATTTGTTATGGTTGCGTTTTTGGTAATTTACAAAACGAAATATCATCTGCTACATCTGGAATTTTCTCCGGCCAAGAGCTCAATGGATTCTTTTAAACAACTTCCACAGTCCACTGGATTCAAAGATTCCTTTGGAGCTGCCCTGAAGATCTCTTGGATTAACTGAAGAAGGCATCTGGACTAAGACTACATACTAAGGCTTAAGGTTTCAATGATATTACAGAAATGATCTACGAAATTTATCCTATTTTTCTTTGGGGTCCAGTTTTCGGCAATGCGATCAGTAATAGAGTCCGTGACCTCCAGAATTAGAAGGAAACAGTCAATTGGCATAGCTTACTTTATATTAACGAAATTATCGGATGATACCCTATTTCGGAGCTTGTTGACGAGCATCTCTGGACTTGCTCCCGGAGTATTTTGAACCTGGAGATTTTTAGACTAGCTGAAGGCCCATGCTCTTACTGTGCAGACTCTCTGAGAATGTCTTGGAGGATCTCTGGATTTTCCTTTAGAACTACTCCCACACTCGGAACTGGGCTGGAGCATTTAAATTGCTCTTTGGAAGATCTCTCAATTGACCAGAAAGCCCATTTGGTCTTGAACTAGTTTCCCATTCCTGAAAGATCTTTGAATGTGCTCCAGAATTCTTTGGAATTGACCTGACTTTTTTTATTGTAATCATCAACACATTTAACGAAATCCGTGACTTGTCTGGGGATGAGATTTGAACTCGTGACCTACAGCGTGAAAGGCTTGGATGCTAACCACTACGCAGGGCCTGTCCCTTCGACCAGCCTAGTCTTACCTTGGAAATCCTTTGGATTTGTCTAAGAAGAGTCTTGCTCAGAAGTCCCTCTACATGTTTCCTCAGTAGCCATTGGAATTTGTCTTGAACTGGGTACCCTCATAAACCCTTTTTTGGAAGATCATTCCATTTGCTCCAGAATTCTTTGGAATTGGCCAGAATATTTTTTCATTGTAGTCCATTACACATTTTAGGTCATTCATAACTAGCCTGGGGATGGAACTTGAACTCGTGACCTACAACGTGAGAGGCATGGATGTTAACACTACGCTGGGCCTGCCTCCTTTAACCAGACTAGTCTTACCCTGGAGATCCTTTGGATTTGTCCAAGAACAGTCTGGCTCAGAAGTTCACCGAGTCCAGGAGGTCTTTTGGTACCTTGGAGACCAACTGTGCTGAATTCAATGTTTGGAGATCCTCTCAATTTTCCCAAGAAATTGTCGGAATTCGGTTTGAAAGTTCATCGAGTTCTGGAGGTCTTCTGGTACCCTGAAGACCAACTGAATACACTATTTCTAGATAGAGCAGGAATTAGGTCGTAACAGCTTTTGTAAACAATGACGTCTATCGATGATTTCTAGGAATTCAAGGCACGTCCACGCAGACCAACCTAACCATCGGATAGGGGAAGTCTTTCCCCACCCGATGAGGATAATGATTTGCGTGGGCGAGCCTTAAATTTCTAGAAATCATCAAGAAAAGTAATTGTTTACAAAAGCTGTAAGGCCCTAATTCCTGCTCTACCTAGATTTAGCTTATTATTGCTCCAATAATCCAGAATTAAATTTTCGGAGATCATCCAAATTTTCCCAAAAGGATAACAGAATTTTGTTTGATAGTTTCCCAAGTCTTGGAGGTCTTCTGGTACCCTCACGACCTTCTGAATATACTATTTTGCTTATTATTGGCACAAGTTCAATTCCAGAATTCAATTTTTGAAGATCCTCTAAATTTTTCCAAAAGGATCGGAATTCGGTTTGAAAGTTTATCAAATCCTGGAGGTCTTATGGTACCCTGGAGACCATCTGATAATGCCTTGATGCTCTCTGGATATGAACTGGAGACTTATTAGACATACCCTTGACAGTTGGTGGTCCTGAAAGATCAGTGAATATTGAACTTTTTCTGTAGACTCCAAGATATCCTTTAAGGGGAAGTTTGCCACTCCAAAAAAGATAATTACGTTTTGATTTTTCTATAAATATTGGGAGCAGATATAAAAATCAAAATAAGGTTCGTTTTATAGATTTTCGTTTAAATAAAATTCAAGTGCAAGAAAATTTTTTGTAAGTCATTATGACATAAAGTTAGACTCAAAAAAACCACAAAAATTCTACTCTCGACTTTGTAGGGGGTCTTATTTTATTTCACGATGAGAAAAAAAAACATTTCCACCTGGAAATTTTCTCAGGAATCCAAGGAAAAAAATATTATAGATTTTTGTTAACATTTCCAATAATTTTAAACTTCCTCTTAACTCTCCCGGGAGGTTTGGAGATCTTTTGAAATGAGCTCCGGTCTCTGGACCTCTCATGTCACACGTGAAATTGTCGGTAGATTCATCACTGCCCTGATGGGTCTCTGAACTTGTTCCGAGCCATGAGTTCTTAGGAGTATAGGAATCACTCGAAATACCCTCTGAAAATAAACTGGAATTGTACATGTCCGGGAGGTCCTCTGGATTTGTCCAAGACTCTTCCTGGAACCCTTTGAAAATGCTGACTCTCTGAACCACTCTTGGATTGTTTCCTGCGATCCTCTGGAATCTTCGAGAAGACTCTCAAAACTTTCCCTAGACATTCTTCCGGGCAAGATGTCTCAGCGTTTGTCATGAAGGATCTCCGAACTCGTTCTGGATACATTCTGGATTTGAACACTCTGAACTTTTGCAGGAGAATATTCGTGCTTGATCTGGGGTCCTTTGGACTTGACCAGTCCAAACCTTGGAGGTTCTCTGATTGCTTTCCCATGGAGTCCCTTACAATTTATTTGATCTTGCCCTGCGATCGTCTGGAATCGTCCAGAAGACTCTCAGAACTTTCCCTAGACCTTCTTCCGGGCAAGATTTCTCTGTGTTTGTCATCTCTGAAGTAGTCCTGTATACAACCCTGGTTCAAGCTGAACTTTTACTGGAGAACATCCGTACTTGATGCGGGGTTCTTTGGACTAGTCCGGACCTAGAAGGCTCTCCGAGCTTTACAATTGGTTTGAGCTTTCCCTGGGTCGTATGGAATTGACCTTTAGGTCTTCCGAAGTTTACATAGTTTGCAATGAAATCCTGAAAAACATTCACAGGCATAACTTTAAAACCTTGTCAAAGAGGTCTTCCAAATTTTCAAAGGACATATGTTTAATAGCTTCTGAATTCACCTTGAAGGATCTTGGAGTCTTTTGGACTTGACCTGCAACAGTGATCACTTTTGGACTATTTATGATGCTCTAAGGAACTTGCACGTATGGTCGTCTATGATTTTCCCAGATGTCTTCAAATCCCTGGACTGGTTCCTTAAGACACTCTGCTTTTATCCCCGAGGATTTCCCCCATTGAACTAGCTTTTCTGGATCTACCAAAGGGTCTGAAAAGCTTCTAGACTCATGTTGGTGGTTCATTCGACTTGGTTCAAAATACACCTGGACTCACCCTTAAGACATTCTGGCATTTGCCTACGCTGTAGACTTTTCTGATGGTTCTCGGAAGTTTTTCATTTCCTGGACGGAGCCTTTTGGACTGAAACTGGATATCATTTTCCCTTGCCCTGGAGTTTCGCTGCCTTCGAATAAGAGCTTTTCCAGTCTTACGCTGGAACCGTTTGGATTATCTCAGGAAGTCGCCTAGACTTGAATTGAATGTCAATGAACCAATTATGGAGAAGATTAACTGGACTTGCTGTAGAAGATCCTTGATCCAAGGGATCTCTGAATTCGCCAAAAAGAAAAGTTGTTAAGAATCACCCAGAATTAAGTTACGGAGGTCATTAGAATTGGTTTGCATTTGAGATTCTTTAAAAATGGCCAATAGTTTCTATCCATTCCATCAACACCATAGAAAAAAATCGAGTGGAAATTTATTCGTTGCACCCTCTGCCCTGAAACATACATAGAATTGCTCTCAAGCTAAGAACTTAGTCTGGAGGATGTGAGAACTTGACTCTACACTAACCGTGAAGATCATCTGAGTTTATTCAAGAGCCTGTCTAGACTCGCCCTAAAAGTCATCTGAATTCTTCCCTATTATCTAAGAGCATTCTCGAGATTGACCCTGAAGGTCATCATGGTTCTCGAAGCATGGCATAAATAACAGAGGTCACGCTCGAAATTCTTTACTCTTGCTCATGAATCCAGACTGTTCTGACCGATATCCATTGACCATACCTCTGCAGGCCTTCTGAACCTAAACTGGATTAATTTTCTGCTGGACATCTGAATTATCCCAAGAAGATCACAAGACTTACGCTAGAACGCTATGGACTAGTTCGCAATGTTGTCACTCATATTGAAAGTCCTCTATCCTTAAGGATATCTGGACATGTTCTCGACTGTGAGTTCTTCGTGCTTGCCTACGAGGTACTTTTGAATTGCTATGGAGACCTTTTGCACTTATACTGGATTTCCCTGAGTCTTTTGAACTTGACTTGAAGGTTCGGTAGACTCATCCTGCAGCTTTTATGGACTCAGGCTTGATGACCTCTGATGCTCGGAGCACTTTGGGCTTGAAATACGGGACTCTGAACTTGTTCTAAAGCGCTGCTGTACTAGCCCCCAAAGTCTGCTTACCTTGGCGAACTTCTGACTTTGCTTGAGGACCTCTGGAGTCTAGACTACTATCTCGAATGTTCTATGGACTTGCACAAAACATCATCTGTAATCATCCCAAAAAGCATCCACGAGAGTGAATTGTACTTGCATTAGACATAGCAGACTGACTGTGGAAGTCTCCTGGACTGGCATTGCCGATTCAATGGAGTTGGAGGTTCGTTAGCCTTGTTGTAGACTGAAGGCTGTTCAGAAGGCTTGGCCTCGAATTGGAGTCCCTCGTGCTTGCCTTGAAAATACTTTGAAATTGTCCTGTAGAGTCTTAAAGCAAAAATGGTATACCCTCTGGATTTACCCTGAGCGATTCATGGTCCCATTCGCGAAGGGTTTTGTTTTGTTTTGACTCACCTTGAATATTACTATCTTGAATTTCACTAGACGACCTCGAATAGTTTGGGCCTAATACACGGGTCAACCCAGTGAAGGTTCCTGGGACTAGAGGTGCTAACTCTGGACTTGTCGTTGACCGTTACCGGATTAGCTGAGTTAACCTGGAGAATCTCTGACCTTGATTAATAGGTCCTCAACAATAACCACGAAGATTATGAAGATAAGGTTTTCTGGACTTTTGCCCAGAGTCCATTTTAGACATGACAGACCGACCCTCAAAGTTAGCGCCTTCTCAGCAGCAGCCCAAAGTCCACTGGACATGAAATGGTGGCTCACTAACCTTGCTCTAGACTCTTCTAGGCTGACCTGAACCGGTTCCCATCCCTGATTTATTCGTGCTGGCCTTCGAGATACGTTGGAATTACTCTGCAGACTCTTTGATTATAAATTGATTTACTCTGAAGGACTAATGGACGAGTTGGACTTCACATAATGATCCTGCAAAGCTTTGAAGGCTAGATCTGAAGATGTTTTTGAAAACACTTTGACTTTGACTTTGCTTAAGAGGTCCTGCACACTAACCTTGAAGATTTGATGGAATGGCACAAAAGTCGAGTAGAATCTCCCCATAGGTCTTCTAGGCTGTCCAGAGTTCAGTGGACTTGCTTTAAATATAACAGACTGGAATCTATGACGAAAGAATAAAACAGCAAAAAAGGTTATCTTCCATTTAATTCCACTTAATTAATTTTGGTACTAAATTAATTAAGTGGAATTAAATGGAAGATAACCTTTTTTGCTGTTTTATTAAAGCATTCCGCTAACAACCCAATTTCATTACTTCATTATGACGAAAGGTTCGAAAGGCAAAAAGGTCGAAAGGCAAAAGTTTGAATTGAATTTAGAGGGACAAAAGGTCGAATGGACAAATGGTCGAATGGACAAAAGATCGAATGGACAAAAGGTCGAATGGACAAAAGGTCGAATGGACAAAAGGTCGAATGGACAAAAGGTCGAATGGAAAAAAGGTATATTTGAACTTAGAAGGACAAAAGGTCGAAGGGACAAAAAGCCAAATGGACAGAAGTTGGGATAGAAAATAGGTCTAAAGGACAAAAGGTCAAATTGGGTTCTTTAAGGGTATTGAGGTAAATGCATATTCGTAATATACATTAAATTAGTAACGAAATCCAAAATTTATTCAATTTTAGTACACTGTTACTAGTTTAAATAAGTGCGCTTACAATAGCCAAAAATCACCGTCTTAGCGCCCCTCGGTTTGGCTTTGTATGGTGGGATTTTATAGCTTCCTGGTTGTTAGTTCAGTGTCAAACAGTGAAGTAAATATTTTGCTTTAATTCTTGATTGTAAAATATAGATGAAAGCCTAAGGGCTCGAAAAAAAAATATCATTGTGCTCAAGAAACGATTTTTTTTTTTCAAAATTAAAGAACACAGAGAGACAAAAGGCCGAATAGACAAAAAGTTGAAATTACATTGACAAAATTTCGAATTAAATTTAGAGGGGCAAAAGGGCGAATGGCCAAAAGGTTGTTAGCAGGACAAAACGTTGAACGACAAAAGGTTGAAGGGATAAAAGGTCGAAGGTAAAAAAGGTTTAATGAACTTAGTGGGACAAAAGGACGAATGGACTAATTGTCGAATTGAATTTAGAAGGACAAAAATTCCTAGGGCTAAAAAGTCCAATTAAACTTAGAGTGACAAAAATTCGAAGAACAAAACATTCTAGGACAAAAGATCGAAGGGAAAAAAGGTCGAAGGGACAAAAGGTCGAATTGAACTTAAAGAGATAAAAGGTAGAGTTAAACTTAGAGGGTAAAAGGTCGAATGGCCAAAAGGTTGAATTGAACTTAAAGAGACAAAAATTCAAAGGGGCAAAAGGACGAATAGACTTGGTCGAATTGAATTTAGAGGGACAAAAAGTTTTAAAGACAAAAGGTCGAATGGCCAAAAGGTTGAATTGAACATAGAGGGACAAAAATTCCAAGGGCTAAAAGGTCGAGTTAAACTTAGAGTGACAAAAGTTTGAAGAACAAAACATTGTAGGACAAAAGGTCGAAGGGATAAATGGTCGAATTGAACTTAGAGAGACAAAAGGTTGAATTAAACTTAGAGAAAAAAGAGGTCGAATTCCCAAAAGTTTGAATTTAACTTAGTGGGACAAAAGGTCGAATACACAAAAGCTTGAAGGAATAAAAGGTCGAAGGTAAAAAAGGTCAAAATGAACTTAGACTGACAAAAAGACGAATGGACTAATGGTCGAATTGAATTTAGAAGGACAAAAAATTCTACAGACGAAAGGTCGAATTGAACTTAGAGTGACAAAAGGTCGAAGAACAAAACATTGTAGGACAAAAGGTCGAAGGGAAAAAAGGTCGAAGGAATAAAACAGTCGAATTGAACTTAGAGCGACAAAAGGTCGAATTGATATTAGAGGAAAAAAAGGTCGAATGGCCAAAAGGTTGAATTGAACATAGAGGGACAAAAATTCCAAGGGCTAAAAGGTCGAGTTAAACTTAGAGTGACAAAAGTTTGAAGAACAAAACATTGTAGGACAAAAGGTCGAAGGTCAAATGGCCAAAAATTTGAATTGAACTTAGTGGGAAGAAAGGTCGAATAGACAAAAGGTTGAAGGACAAAACGTTGAACGACAAAAGGTTGAAGGGATAAAAGGTTGAAGGGATAAAAGGTTGAAGGTAAAAAAGGTTCAAATGAACTTAGACGGACAAAAGGACGAATGGACTAATGGTCGAATTAAATTTAGAGGGACAAAAGGTCGAATTGGGTTTTTTAGGGTATTGAGGTAAATGCATATTCGTAATCTGCATTAAGAATGGAACCCAAACCCAAAATTTCATAAATTTTGGTACATTCGAACTATTTTAAATAAGTTCGATTACATTAGCAAAAATCACCTTATTAGCGCCCCTCGGTGTCACTTTGTATGGGAGCGAGCTGTCAGTTTGTTAGTTTAGTGTCAAACAGTGAAGTTATTATTTTGCTTTAAATCTTGATTTAAAAATCAAGGTGAATGTATGTGGGTTCGAAAAATTCATTGAAACCTGAGAGGGTTCTCTCAATCATTTCTCGTTGAACATTTCAATAGGTCCTATCTGCTTTGATCGATTATCTTTTTTTTTCCTTGATTTGTTTTCCGTCGATCTTGTTTTCCGTACTGAGTACCAATCCTACCGATGCCAGGGAGGCAGCTCCCACACCTGGACCCTACCTATCAACCCATCAAAATTCATGAACCGGGGACCAAAGGCTGTACTTCCCTTCCCAAGGAAGGCGTGATCAGACATGTTATGACTCAGAACATCCCGCCGGTGCCGATTGGGATCGAACCCCGGCCTTTTGGGGTAAGAGGCAATCACGCTTACCACTACACCAACGGTGCCGCTCTTGATCAATTCTCTTCAAACATATCAAGCTGAACATTGCATTAGGTCCTAGGTAACATTGACAGATTCTCTTCGTCGACTTTCTCTTTGCATCCCCACGCCCATGAAAAGACATTCCCAGGTATTTTCAGCACACAGATCGATAAAAGAAGCTTTTATCTAACATCTGATACGACAAACACAACAAAAAACGGCTATGTGCTCAAGTTATTAACGAAAGAAAAAGTCGATGAAGAGAATCGATCAATGTTACTTAGGACCTAATGCAATGTTCAGCTTGATATTTCGAGCTGGTTTCGCCTCACAGTTTGATAGCGGAAGCTTTTATCTTGCGCTCGAACACAGCAGGTAATGGTTCTGAAGTTGAGTTACCTTCGAAAGAGACAGTCGATGATGAAAATCGAATAATTCACATAGTACCTATTGAAATGCTTATCTAGATTTGTCAAGATGGCGTAAAGTTCGTCTGAGTTTTTTTTTTGACCGTCCATTTTCAGCGAATTTGAATCTATTTTGAACTAGCTAAATTTCATCATAAGAAAAACAGTGAATCTATCTTAACTAAATCAACAGAAAACCCCTTTACATTACTTACGCATAAGCTCATGGTGTTCCTATTACTATTTTTCAACGTTGCTTAATCTGCACTCATTTACTCACACACTGCAAGTGGTTTGATGTTTAGAGCATTTCAAGGTCAAATAGCAAAACAAAAAATGGACTTCAGACTCGACCTTCTCCGATTTGTACTAAACTTTGCGTAATTCCGGAGTGATTTGAGATTTGGGCGTAATTGCATTTGTAAGCAAACACGTCAATCGCCGATTTCTTGCGAATAAAAGCTCAATCTCGAAAACTTAAAACACGTAGAGTACTAAAGGGTGTCCACGATGAAATTGCCACACTATGAAATTGCTCTAACTTTTTAACCGTTGGGTAGAATTTAATGAAAATTTGGGTGGATTTAGTTCATAGTGCATTATTTACATCCTGCAAGTTTTAAAGTCCTGTGATCAAAACTCGCGGAAATGGAGTCGAAAGAACAGCTCGTGCGTGATAAAATCTTGCGCATTCATCACGAGAACAAGGATCTCTCGCATCGTTCCATCGCTAAAACGTTGGGAATCACGAATTCCACGGTGTCGCGAGTGATTAAGCGGTTCGAGGAACGGTTGACCACCGATCGGAAGCCCAGAAGTGAAGGAAAAAGTACACCAAAAATCACAACCGCGTAGTTGGGGCCTTCAACCGAAATCCGAACGCCTCCGTTAGGGATGTGGATAAGAAGCTGCACCTAAGCCGAATTTTTGTCCAGAAGGCCAAAACTAAGGCTGGGCTTCGAACGTTCAAGGTACAAAAGGCCCCTAATCGTGACGAGAAGCAGAACAAGTCCGCCAAAACCCGTGCCAGGAAGTTGTACCTCAACATGCTGACGAAAGTTGAATGCTGCATCATGGACGACGAAACATATGTGAAGGCCGACTTCAAACAGATCCCCGGCAACCTGTTTTTCACGGCCAAGGATAAGTTCAGCGTTCCGGAGCATGTCCGCACTCAGAAGATGTCCAAATTTGCGAAGAAATTCCTGGTTTGGCAAGCCATCTGCACGTGCGGGAAGCGGAGTGCACCTTTCGTGACCCAGGACACGATGAACGGACAGGTGTACATAAAAGAGTGCCTCCAGAAGCGGCTGCTTCCTCTCCTGAAGGCCCACAACGTCCCAACAATCTTCTGGCCGGATTTGGCCTCATGCCACTACTCCAAGGACGTGCTGAAGTGGTATGCGGACAATAAGGTCAATTTCGTGCCGAAAATGTTCAACCCTCCCAACACTCCGGAGCTCCGCCCCATCGAGAAGTACTGGGCGATTATGAAGCAGCACCTTCTTAAACGACCTAAGGTAGTGAAGACAGTCGAGGAACTGAAGAAAGTATGGGTTTACATGCAAAAAACGGTTGATTCACAGGTTGTGCAGAATCTTATGGCCGGGGTTAAGGCCAAGGTGCGGGCATTTGCGTATGGACTGTAAATAAAATACGAGTAAAATGGTAAAATGAAGTTTAATAGTTATTTCTCAATCCCTGAAAATTTGATGGCAATCGGATGAAAACTCGAATTTTGCGAATCAATTTTGTGTGTGGCAATTTCATCGTGGACACCCTTTACGTAGAGTAATCATTGCTTTATCATTTGGTTTAGTTTGTTTACGAGATTGAGCTTTTATTCACGAGAAATCGGCGATTGACGTGTTTGTTTACAAAAGCAATTACGCCCAAATCTCAAATCACTCCGGAATTGTTTGATATGGTCAATCATTCACATTTGAGCGGGAATTCAGCCATTTTGAATCTCGGAGAAATCTTCAAAATGGCGTGTTTAAAAAATTTCAACAAATCATAACTCGAAATCTTTCATTCCAATCGAAATGCCGTGCGAGACAGAGATCTAAATGGTTCTCATTACAAAAATATACCAAATATTGTTGAAACAAAAGATCCAAATCTGTCCAATTGTTGTTGTTCTATGATTTTTTTTGTAAATCTGTAAGTGTACAGCTTGAAAATTTCGCAGCATATAGCATGTGTCATATTTTTCATTAACACTCCGAACATGATGCCTCCGGTAAAATGTGTAACGGCAAATTGGCAATGTTTGAAAAATCATTACTCAGCAATTTATCAACAGATTTTAAGTCTATTCGTACCGAATAAATTTCTAAAGCATGAAATTTCAAACGGTACCAAAAGATTCGTCAATAAATAGCTGAGCTGTGATTTTTCAAACATTGTAAGTTTGCCGTTACACATTTCCGCGGAGGTATCGTGTTCGGAGTGTCAATGATAAATATTTAAAAAAATTTAAGTGTTTTGATTTTTGGATTTTTTACCCAAAATCAGTTGAAATCATTTACCGTGTGTATTTTTCATGTAAATTTATAATTGTTTCCAACAACTTTGTATCAGTCGTCATTTCGATTGGAAGCGATGTTTTCTAGTTATGATTTGTTGAAAAATTACGAATCCACCATTTTGAAGTTTTTCGGGGATATTAAAAATGGCCGAATTTCAGCTCAAATTGTGAATGATTAACTAACCATAACAAACAATTATTGCAAAGTTTCATGCAAATCAGAGAACGTCGCATCAGATCGATTGGTCGTTTGGCGTGGAATTGCTCTGAAATGAAAACCCCGTTTCGCCTTACACTCGTTTTAATTTTAAGCAGAACAGAAACTACCCTTCCCCCACATCAAAGTGTAAAGTCATAGCGTTTAAGCCGGTGATGTTTTAATTTCAGTGATTAGAGAAACTTACTTCGATCTTTGCAATCGATAGCTGTTGGAAAATGGATGAGAGCAAAGCTCTCAAATCGGATAAGAAAAAGCCCCGGAATTAGCCTACTTTCGATCGGAATTAATAGTTATAGCCAATTAGGCAGCTCCACTCTCGCTGTAAAGAAAACGCAATTCTATCTTCCCTCAGTAAGCTTGGTAGGACTCTTTATGATAATTTATTATTACGGAAGAAAATATAATGGTTAGAATGGAAAATAGGCGAAAGAAACTAACTTTTAGCTAGGATGTTCTAATGTAACAATCATATTCTGTATATATTGAAGACTGAACACAAACATAGAAAGCATTGAATTGAGGTGTGGTCCGCAAACGGAGACGAAGGAGGAAGGCACAATAAAACGGCTCTGTAATTTATAGCTGTAATGTAATTTATTTACCAGGCATGCGTTCTTCTCTAGACCAGTAGAAATAATGAAGCAAAGAGTGAAGAATGAATTGAAAAATCGATCCCGATCCTGTTAATTGTAAAAGAAAAGTCTTTCAATGAAAACAAAAAACGACACAAATTTGCACCGGCTGTGCAAATGGTGATCGAACGTGCACTTATTAAGTTTAGCTTTCACTCCACGGAAAACTCAATACTTAATTTGTTTGCTCTGCGAGAAACTCGAACAGAGCAGTTTCAAGCGTTAACCAACTTTGTTATTGTAGTTCCAGTTACACATATCACATCACTGTAACCGGTTTTCCGCCCAAGGTTACGAAACGGAGCAAATCACTTATTTAAACACACTCACTTATATCTATCAGGATGAGACTATCGTTTAGTTGTTTCAAACAATGAACTATGTACAGTAAAGATTTCCTTACGAGACCCTCGATTCCGCCAGCGAACAAATATAATAATAACAAAAAAAAGATGCATCGGTGATAAAATAAAGATAAAAACACAATTTACGAGCGGGAAGAACAATCTGGTCCAAGCTATGAATGAATGCGAATAAAGTCATATATTTCAAATAATGTAACCCACCGCGACGACGCAGAAGGCTTTCTCAGTGAACGAAGAAAAGAAATTCCACGAACATTGTGTAGCTTAAAATTACAAAATATCGTCTTGTATTTCGTTTCTCCCCGTATTTTCAGTTTAAAATACAAATATACCTACATCTGGCGAGGTTTGCTCAAAACGTCTTAAATATAAGAGGTCTAAAGTAGTCCTAAGCTCTCAGAGTTTCTACAAATTGTTGCATCGATTTGTTTGGACAGCTTCTGCCTTTCGTTAAAATTTGTTTTCCCTTGACTCTGGTGATAATTTTTCAGTAACTAAACTACTCGGGCCTTCGTCTTTTCACTGTTCGAAACGCTTTCAAAATCTGACTCGAACGGCGATCCATTTGCACCCTCATCCGAGTCACATTAATCGCGTAACGCACTTCGCCAATCAGATAACTCACATTGTAATACAGCTTGTAATCTCTGTCGTCCTGAACACACAAACCTGCTGTCACTTGCCTGTCCTAACCAATTAACATCACAGACATATCACTGTCGGCATCCGGAAAGCGAACCGAATCGAATCGAAACATCAAACACGCAAACCTCTTGGCTGGAGGCATCATCGTTCCTTACAACTCACAAACGTAGCTGTTCCGACTGCGGACGCTGTCCTTCTTCAGTAGCACCTGAATCGATTCATTCCACGATGGGGGAGTCCTCATGGTCACCGTTTCCAGGCCAACCGTTCTCGGTCCCCCACTACTGAGACACGACTTCGACCTCAGGCTATTGTTCCTCGCTGTGGCGGCGGCGGTGGTGGTGGTATTGGTGAAGGTGGTCGTTACCAACAATGACGTTTGGGTCGGCCCTGTCACATCGGTACCGTTGTTGCTGCTGCCGCTGCCGCTGGGGCGCGCTTCCATCATCGTCAACGTCGAGTCGGTCAATGCGGTCGTGCAGGTCATGCCGGACGTCGACGAAGGCGATCCTGGATTCGAATGCTGGTGTTGCTGTTGTTGTTGTTGCTGTATTTGTTGTTGTTGTTGCTGGAATGGATTCTGAATGGGTAGAAAACAGTGCCGATGGTTGCGATGGTCCAGGTTGGCTTCCACGCCGCGCGTTCGATGGCGCGGATGGGACACCGTGTGCCGTCGGCCAACCACCCCAACTGTTGGCTATTTGAATTCGTACAGTCTGGTGTTGGTGGAAGCACGGTCCTGCGGGGGTGAAAGAAAAGGATAAATATTTAATTTGAAATTTCATTCAAAACTCTTCGAACATACAATAGTAAGGGAAGGAGCCTTAAATTTATAATTGTTCAAAACAAATTAATTGGCAGTAGGATCAACATATATTGAACCTACCACCAATTAATTTGTAATGATCAATTAGAAATTTAAGGCTATAGCTCAATATGCTACTCCTACCTATACGTTGTGTTATAGCTACTAGGTACGTTATTAGTTATCTTGCATCTTGCAATTTGCTAAAGTTTAGGGAGCAATTTATTTAAAGGGTGTCCCACATCAAATTGTATCCCGGAAAAAAAAAACGCTGTAGAAAATCACCTAGTTTAACGATCCTTTTCAAACTTTCAGACAGTAAAATATAACCCATAAGTAATCTTTTAGTATATTTATTTCAGTCAACTTCAATGCCATAACCGTACGCTCACACCTTACGCTTAACACCACTCATTAGCTTCGCTGGTAGACCTCTCCTTCGTTCCAATTATTCTATACCATGGGCTTATTACGGATGCCACTTCACTTGTCACTTGCCGTCACAATGAAGTGATTCCCATTTGATTTGTACGGTAATCACGCCTCTTATTCTGAGTAGGTCACTTGCTTATCACCGTGTAGTGACACCCGTAATAAGGCCCCATATTCTGTTCTCTCATTCTCACCCCACGTTCATCTCGTACTGGAACCGATTTCCGAAGTTTGGCTTTGAACTTCGGCGATCGTTTTCCTGTGCAGATTAGCATTTCGATTTTCGTGCACTTATGAGCTTTCTTTACATACACACTGTTGACCACTCCGTGGTTCGTGGGTCGGAAACCACCTCAGAAAACAGCACGCAAGGGCGCACAAGAATAATGTTACTGCTCACCGTTCTTTCTACTCCCGTTTCATTATTTTCCCGAAATATCCTTTCCAGTATCCTTGACAAACGTATCCGTCCTTAATCCTTGGTGTCTTTTTTCCTCGTCCTTTTAGTCTTCCAAAAATATGTACGAAAACTACCAGAAATACTGTCGGAAAACTATCACACATTTATTAATTAACAAAAACTGGCTTTATTGTGCACACGCGGCGGTTCAGTGTATAATAAATGTTTATTGCCTCGAGATCAGTTGGCTACTAACTGGGGATTCTGTTATCCACATCTATCTATACCTAAACCTAACTTCGTGCTGTATTCCTGTGTGCATGTTATCAATTTTATCAGTGTCTATTAGTGTTAGCGTATCTGTACAAAAACTGTAGGGGTGTTCAATGTGTATTGTGTATAACAGTTATAAATTTCAGTTTGTGTTAGCAGTAATTCAATTTTACCCTTAAATCTAAGTTAACAGTAAACACACACTAATGTCCGCATACCCTTTTTCATAATAACTAACCCAATCTTTTTTGATTTACCTTGTACCCGCTTTGGTAGGTTGAGTCTTTCTTACTACAGGCCGGACTCGATTATCCGGAGGCTCGATTAACCGGAGGCTCGATTATCCGGGGCTCGATTATCCGGAGAAAATGGCTCGATTATCCGGAGTCATATTTTTTTACCTATCTTGCAAATTATTTTGCATAAACCGCTTGGAAAACCGACTTTCGATCCGAGGACGAGTAACATACATCGTTCGACTCAGTCTGACAAGATCGGAAAATGACTATATTTAAGTGTTTGTTTGCCTTTGTTACAAAATCCGGCGTTAAGGGGTTTTGGATTAACTTTGACATCAAACATATCATGTGCCACAACAACATACAAAAATTGAATCCCATGATGGTCCGTTCCCTAATTATGTCAAGTTTCAGGGGGAGGGGCGGGGAATGGCAACCGAACAAAATTTTTGAAGATCCGTAAAAAAAAAATGTACCAAAGGACCTTTAACCCTCCGTTACTCGCGATGTTGTACTTTGTACAACACACATGAGTTTTCCATTGCCATTTTGTTGCTGAGTTACCAATCGATCTGAAACCAACGAGTATTCCTCAAAAAACTTGTTTTGATCTAAACAAGCTAAACTTTGATTACAGTAAACACCTACAAAATGCGGATAATAGGGAAAATGTGAATGGAAACCGCGAAAACTGTGACCATACTACGTGGGATTTGACTTAATTGATTACAACATGGAATATACCAAGATTCTGACAAGATAGAAAGTTACTGTCTCTGACAATGTTGTTCAGGAGATTATAGCCTTGTCACTGGCGGACAGTAGTTCAGAATTTTCTTACTCTCTAAATTCTCGCATGTGATATATCTCGAGATCCTCGCATTTTTGTGGGTTAACTGTGATAAAATTTTAGCTTGTTTAGTTAAAAACAAGTTTTTCAATGAATACCCCTTGGTTTCATATCGATTGGTAGCCCGGCTGCAAAATGGCAATGGAAAACTAACACTGTTGTACAAAGTACAACGCGCGAGTACTCGTGTTATAAAAGTTGGCGCGAGTAACGGAGGGTTAAAGGGGGGTTTCGTGAGAATTGGTCTTTTGGTGGCTTCATACGTAAAAATTTATATCAATTTTCTTATTTTATTTTGTAGTTCAATTCATTTATTCATCATTTCAGTAAAAACAGTAGTTCATCAATAAAGTGATTCAGTAAAAACAAAGAGAATTGCAAATTTGATCATAAATCAATCCTTATTGACTATTTTATCAAGAATATTTCCCCTGATTTCACGAAGTTCCAACGGTAATTGGTTTTCCTCCGCCCATGTGATGATAGTGTCAATACTGTGCAGCGCTGATTGATCTGGAACTGGTTCGTACTCCTCATCTTGGTTGTCATCTGCTGTAGAAATGTTTGCAGTTTCATCCAGAGTGGTGTTCGTCACGCTTTCTCCTTCATAAAAATGTGAATCATGGTTAAGAACAGCATTGACTATGTCAGCATCAGACATGACATCGAATTCCGCATTCTCGTCTTCATTTTCGCCTGCAGCCGCTTTATCAGCAACCATCATTTGAATTGTTACACTATCATCTCTAGAGCACCGGAACTCATATTTGCAATGTTAATATTTCAAAAATATTAATGGAAAATGGTTGAAATTGATCGAGTGCGTCAAGTTAGGAACCTCGTCAAACATGGTGCCTTCACGGTAACCGTGATTTTTAGTCAAGATTAACTTTGTCTCTACACACTCGTGAGAGTCGCGAGACTACGATTTTTCTCAAGTTGAGGGGTCCCATGGCGTGGTTAGTTACACGTTCGCTTCTCAAGCGGATGGTCCATGGGTTCAATTCCATTGATCTTCTTATCGAAATTTGATGTATTTTAATGTGTCATGATAGGTTACTATTCAAGTCCGATTCTGGTCACTTTTCCGGGGCACCTGGAACTTGTCCGGAAGTGACAATATGGTCCAAGGTAATTAATTTTTTCCACCATTGATCTGGTTATCGAATTTTGATATAATCTGATGTGTCGCATGATAGGTTATTATTCAGGTCTGGTTCTGGCCACTTTGCCGGAGGCACCGGAACTTGCCCGGAAGTGGCCAATATGGTCCAAGATACTTAATGTTTGCCACCATTGATCTTGATATCAAATTTTGATTTAATTTGATGTGTCGCTTAATAGGTTTTGTTCCTTTCAAGTCAAATTTAGCCTCATGGCCCATAAACTCCGGAACTTGTTCCGGTCATATCTACAAAACCAGTGGCCCGATTCCATAATCCTTCAATAGCGTTCAATGGGACCACTAAAAACATTAAATGAGACCACATAAGACAAAATTTTTTTTTTTTTGATGGCTCGATTATCCGGAGTGAAATTTTTTTCAAGACTCCGGATAATCGAGTCCGCCCGGTAATATCCATTATACCTACTAAAATATTCCCCTTCTGTACGCTCTGGTTTGAAATCTATTATTTTTTGTAAAGTAGAAAAAAAAAACATTTATTTATTTATCAATACTTTGAATGTATTATTATTGCTGTTCAATTTAATGGTGTATTTTTGTATTAGCTTATTTATGTATTTACTGGTAAATACGATAAACAAACTTATTATCAAATCTCGACGGTTTCTTTAGTCCACCTCTAGATCGAAGATTTCGCTCAATTGGCTGGGAACGCATATCTTCTGGAATTTTCGTCATACCCATCTGCGACCGAGTTGATGTTGAATCATCCTGGATAGCACAGTGTGGCCCACTGTCCTTTGGGTCCATTTCCTCTGTAAAAGGGGCCAGTTTTATGTCGTGGACGTTTCGAGCGTACTGAATACCGTTTCCGCTCATTACTACAACTTTCGCACCTTGCGTGGCTATAACTGAATAGCGCTCCGCTGAAAATGAAGAGACGTTTTTTTTTTCATCTCTATAAAATGGGAGGCCCCAGAGGGGGGTTCCGCCAGCAAATTTTGTTATGGAGTTGGCTTACAATTCGCATGTACTCAAATCGAAGCAATTAAAACAGATTCCAGTAAAAAGACTAACAATACAGGCAACGAGAAAAAAAAAAACACAATCTGGTACATCAAAGTTAGGTAGGGTTTTGAAAGAGATCGGAGCTCCATCGTAGGAGGGGTAATCCCCCGTCCGGTAAAGATGTACCGTCAGCCAAAAGAATGTTAAAAGGACCTAAATGTTGTTGTATAACCCTGCGTCCTTGAGGAAATAAATAACTGTCGCTAAAGTAGAAGGTTCGTCGCCCAGTATGTCCCTAATGCTGTTGGGAAGTGCGTACTGCTCCCTTAGTTGTTGGTATTGCGGACACAGCCATAGGATGTGTTCCACCGATGCAGTGGTTCCGCAAACGTAGCACATTCTGTGGAACTGCGTCCCACCAAAACTATGTGAGATCCTTGTATGGCCTGTCCTAAGACGAGAAACCACCTTCTGGTCCCGTAGTTTCGACATATCCGTCCACTTGCTCGTCGTTCCTTTGATTCTTCGAATGAAGAGCGATTGGGATTGGCACCACTCTGCTTCCCAGGCTTCCCACAATTTGCTGACTATCCATCGCTTTATGTC